ACTGCGGCTTCCGGGTAGGACGGGACAGCTGATGGCCAAGCGCTTGTGGCCGCTTCGCGGGTACTGGCTGGGCAGGTGGCCCCCGTGCCAGTCGGCGTAACTGAGCAGAGAAGGGCCTTGCAGAGGAGGGGTCCCTGGGGGACCGAAGAGACCGCCGTGGACACAAGCTGACCGGCTCCCAGGCTGGTGAGGGGCTGGGCGCTTGTGTGCAGGCGGCGGCGAGAGGACTCCAGCTACGGTGTGTTCTGCCCTTCCCCAGCGCGTCCTGTCCGGAGTGGTGCGCGCCCAGACCAGGGATGTACATGCAGGTGGAGTCCCGTACCAGCTCCTGCCTCCATCTGAAGAGGGCTCCAGGCATCAGGTCCTGGTCTTTGCTTGTTGGTAAGGATGTCCGTATTTCCCCCCCAGGCTAAAAACCTAATTAAAAAAAAAAAGAAAGAAAGAAAGAAAGAAACTGTCCTCTGTTCTCTTGCCCCCAAGTATAGCAATTGCTTTGTTACTTTGTATCTTCCCAGCTTTTACCCTATATGCACTGCTTTTGACCTACATGAGTGCTTTTACATGAGGATCTGTCCTTTTTCCACCACTTAATATCTCAATGTTAATATTGCGCATGTTCTTCTGAGGTCCTTGTGTTCCCCTTTTGTTTGCTTTCATACATCTGGTTGCAGGTGTATGCTAGAGGCTCACGTGATGGGCCACAGTTCATTCCCGTTTTTCGTCTCTCACTGTCCATTGGAGGGTCCTACACTGCAGGGGCGGTGGCACGGTGTTGACGAGAGTGGCTGTGTGAAGAGTGGTGTGGCTGTGCCCTCCGTGGCATGTCTCTGTCCATCTTTCCCGTGACCCTGCATGTGGCCACCCGCCTGTTCTGCTTCCCGCGCCACACTACGGTTCTTCATCCCACACCACGTGGAATGCTGTCTGGCTCTGGCTCCTCAGGTCTGGAGCCTCGGCCGGAGGAACATACTCCGGGAATATGTAAAAGGCATTTGCCATGTTTCGGAGTGTGCTTCCTGGCTGTGTCCCCGACTTCTGAGCCTGGTGGTCTTCTGTCCCCCACCCCCACCCCCAGCCATCTCTGGCACCGGGAAGGGAAGGGCCTGCTCGTCTGAGCCTGTGGCTCCTGGCAGGAGGGGACTCTGGACTCGTGGGGGCCCAGTAGGGAGGCACTTGCTTTCTTTTCTCTTTGCAGGAATCTTGTCGGTTGGCCTGGCTGCTGCCTACTACAGCGGAGGTGGGTGCACCACCTCCTCCCTCCCGCAGGAACTTCCGTGGCTGTTTGGGAAATAGGAAAAGAGAGCGAACCCTCCATTTGTGGTGCTCACCAAGGCCCAGCCTCTGGGGCCAAGGCACCTCCACACAGGTGCAGCCCCAGCTCCGTGTGCTGGCGTTCCCCTTCTCCTTCCAGATTTTACGTATTTGCCAGAGATCACAAGTAGGCAGCGCAGCAGGGAGTGGGAGAGGGTGAAGCAGGCTCCCTGTGGAGCAGGGAGCCTAACGCAGGGCTCGATCCCAGGACCCCCGGACCATGATCTGAGCTGGAGGCAGAGGCTTAACCCACTGAAGCCCCTGGTGCCCCATCTTCTTGTATCTGAAGCACTCTACCGCGTCGTGACACATTCTTCAGAAAAGTGCTCTCTCGTGTTTGCCTGAGGCCGCACTGCAGGCTGAACCACACTTCCAGCCGCCCCTGCACGTCCCTCCCCCTCCACCATCACACACCAGGCTGTGATCTGCAGATGCGGGTCAGCCCTGACTCCTGTCTCCAGTAGACGCTGGAGGGAGAGCAGAGGGCACACAGAGCTGGCCGGCATTTCACACGTTGTTCTGCATGACAGGCAGGGCCAGCAGTGTCGGGTGGCTGCCCTGGGCCGGGGTCAGCCAGCCCCAGAGGCCACCCCTGCCCAGTGTCAGCTGGGGAGCCCCCCCCCCCCATGGCATGTCGGTCTGTGGCCCTCTGCTGCTGTCCCTCACCTGGCTGTCTGCTGTGTTTGCTCTTCAGATAGTCTGGGCTGGAAGCTCTTCTATGTCACAGGCTGCCTGTTCGTGGCCGTGCAGAACCTGGAGGACTGGGAGGTAAGGCCGGCACAGGCAAGAGCGCGAGGGTGCAGTGAGGGTCACAGCAGGGGGAAGGGCTCTGGGGCCTCACACGCCCCATCCTGAAACTTGACCTTACTGGTTTCTGTGCCAAGGAATCTTCTTTTCTCCTAGAAGCTTTTCGGGACGGTTTCCACTAAAATTCTTTACTCCCTAGTGTTGCCATGGCCCAGGACAGAATGAGGGCCAGTGCTCTCCCCTGTAGGTGGGTCTCTTCACCAGGAACCACAGGACTTGGGGGCTCTCTGACCTCCGGACTTTAACTTCCATTCCTTTGCTTGATGACCTCGCTGCTGTACTTCTCTTTCCCTTGGGTAGAGCATCTGCTTCCACGCCCCCCTCTCTGTACACCCCTGGCCCCGGGGCCCCAACAGATGGGAGTCCGAGAGGGTGTGGCTGTAGGTGTTGGCCCTGGCGGAGCCGCCTGTGGCTGTCCGTGCTGGGTGTCAGCTGGGTGTCCTCCCAAGTGTCTGCTCTGGCCAGTCTGGGCCCTGAAGTTCTGTGTGCGGCTGGTCTGCACACACAGAGGCTGGCAGCCGGGTGACCCCCTCTGGCCGGTTTTCCAGGAAGCGGTCTTCAACAAGAACACCGGGCAGGTTGTCCTGAAGACATTCAGCTTGTACAGGAAGCTGCTGACTCTTCTCAGAGCCGGCCACGACCAAGGTGAGGCACGTGGCACAGGCACACGGGGTGTGGCAGGAGGCTGCTGATTCCAGACTGGATGGAAGGTGGTGAGCAAGACCCAGAGACCAGGCCCGAGACCTAGAAATGGGGTGGGTCAGAGCTGCCCGCTGGGTGACACAGGGTGCCCCTGGACACTGCCGGGCAGCCTCGAGCTCAGTGGCCGGCCACTAGGCACTAGGAAGGCATTTTTCAGCCATTGGGGGAAGATAAAGCAGAGAAATAGGCAATATAGAGCTTAGCCTGTCCTTGGTGTGCTGCTCACGAGAGTACGGGCAGGCTGCTGCTTCTCACCGGATAGTGCTCTCCTGTGCGCACAGCCAGCCTGTGCGATGGTCGCTGGCCCCTGCTGCCATCCTCTGGAGAGTGGCCCCAAAGTGCTGTGCCCAGCACACAGGAAGGGCAGGCGAGGAGGCGGGACCACTGACTGTCTCCCGCCACCCCCCACAGCGGTGGTCCTGCTGAATGACATCCGGGATGTGAACGTGGAGGAGGAGAAAGTCCGGTATTTTGGGAAGGGCTATGTGGTGGTGTTGCGGTTTGCAACAGGCTTCTCCCACCCCCTCACACAGAGCGCTGTCATGGGCCACCGAAGGTAAGCTGGTCACAGCTGGCTGGCTGTGCCCCTCGCCCCCAATAGGTGGCCCCCACAGTGGACTGTGTGGCTGGGCCCAGGGAGAGGACTTGGAGGAAGTAGCCCCTGCTGCTAGGGGAATACTGGGGAGTCCCCACAGGGGACAGAGGGGTCTGGGAGTCCTAGGAGATGGGGCCCAGAACTGAAGGCACCGTGTCCTAGAGGGACCCCTGGGGGTGCTGGAGGTGGGTGGTCCAGCAGGAGTATGGTGTGGTCTTTGTGGCTGCCTCAGGGCTGGCCGTGGTAACCTGCCCTTTCTCCCGATGTCGGCCTGGCCCAGTGATGTGGAAGCCGTCGCCAAGCTTATTGCCACCTTCCTGGAACTGCACCACCTGGAGAGTCCCGTGGAGCTGTCTCAGAGCAGTGACAGCGAGGCTGATGGCCCAGAGAGCCAGAGCTAACGCCCGTAGAGCCCCTGGCCTTGGTTCCAGTGGGCCACTGGCAAGCCTTCCTCCAGTGCCTGGCTGTGTCTGGCCCTAGGGTGGGACCCTCTGCCATTCCTGCTGTTTGCTTCTGCCCTCTGAGCAAAACCACAGGCTGGACCTTCTGCAGGCTCTGAGCTGTCCAGGGAGGGCAGAGGCCTCAGAGCTGCCTCCTGGCATCAGAGGGCTGGCCCCAGCCTGGCAGTGACAGGGGGACTCTGAGGGCACACGCACCCCACTGCCCACCAGCTGCGTGGGGATCAGGTCTCTGAAATGGGACACCCAGGGAGGTTCGTCAGTACTGGCTCCCCTGCAGTTCAGCTCCCCAGTGACAGCAAAGCTTCAGCAGGTATGCACAGTGCCGGCAGCTGGGTCAGGCTCAGAGAGCGCCAGGAGGACGCCCGCACTGGCATGATGTCCCCGGGGATCCCAATGGGCCCTGCCCCACATGCTGCAGCCCTTCCCTGGCTCAGTCCCCTCTGCGGCTAGAGCGCGGTGCTTGCGCAGGGTCTGCAGGGCCCAGGGCAGGCGCTGAGGGTCCCACCTGGCTGTGTGCACTGCAGCCACTCCCAAGGCCTCCCCAGCCTGCACACAGCCCCTGACCGGCCGGGCCTGCCACTGGGCTTGCACAGGGTCGGGGAGGCCCCACACAGGGCCTAGGCCAGGGTGGCTCCCTTAGGAACCCAGGCAGGACGTGGGGCCCAGGGCTGCTGCAGCAGCCCCCACAGAGGTGAGGCAGTGAGGGCACCTCTGAGCCGGCACTCAGGAGCTGAGCCAGAACAGCTAGGAAGCGGGGAGCCCCACCCCCTTCTCCAGGGAGGCCACCAACAGCTCTAGTTTGGGGAACAGTCATCGACACATGCCAAAGTTGGGTTTTTAAGTGGTAAAATTTGAAAGCTTTCTTTTTCTAAAATAAAGTATGAAATGCTGTCACCGGTTTCTGGCGTGGTCACCCCGACTGGAGGGTGCCCTGAGTTGGAGGGACCCGGGTGGCCAGCTCCCCTCCGCCTTGGCTGGGCTCGCAGGGTGAGGACGGTCTCGGGACCACGGGTGTGGGACGCGCGCTGGCAGCGAGCCTGACTCCCACCAGCAGCGGTTCCGGCTCCCGCTGTCCGTTGTATTTCAAGCGCACAAGTTCCACACGCGGGTCGGTTGGCAGGCCTCAGCGTGTCCCCTGGACCTCGCCACTCGTCTTTCCCAGCGAGAACCGTCTGCTCCCTGGGTGGGGCCTGTTGCAGGGAGTATCGGGTACAGGGGGAGGCGGGCTGCCGGTGCCAGGATGGACACAGCTGGACGGGGTGCCCGGCCCGCCCCCTCAGGGGTCCTGAGCCTTGTGCGGCCTGGCGCCAGCCGCCTCTCTAAGGTCCTGCAGCAAGGCCTGTAGCCGCCTCAGGCTGGGCTGCACGTTCTCCTCCAGCCACTCCTCCACGGCGTCGGGATAGAAGACACGAAGCAGGGCGGCCTCCAGCTCCTGCACCACGGCGCTCCACCTGGCCAGCAGGCTGAGAACCACAGCCGGCAGTGAGCCTGCCTGGTGGGCACCCCTGGGCACCAGCTCGCAGCCTGTGCACGACACTCATGTCCTCAACAACCTCACGGGTCGCTACGGTTCTGTGCCTCAGTTTACCCATGCATAAAATGGCTATCCGTGCCTATCACAGCGAGACGGGAATAAATGAGTCGTTACGTTTCAACATCTGAAACTGGAATGCGCTCTGCTATCGGCCGGCAGGGTCTGTCTCTACGCGTGAGCCTGTCAACATCTGACCGTGTCTTCCACTCAGTGAGGACACTGCATTGGCCTCAGCTCAGAGCCGTGAGCCACGAGAGCAGCAAGGAGGGCTGCTGGCCAGGAGGGGCCCTGGACCCTGCCCGGGGTGACCCTCACCCTTTTAGACTAGAAATGCCCTGGCTTCTCGAACACGTACAGCACAGCTGTTTCAGCCAAGTTGATTCACCTAAGAACTCAAGGCTCAAGACCTAGAAAGCTCGTTTGGGTTCAAAGCCGGAAGCCACAGAGGATGTGCAGCCCTGGGGGTGGGCACTGCCAGGAGCGGGGGCAACTAACCTGAGCGCCTGGGGCTGGATGTGCTGGACCATGACCGGGTGGATGAGCTTCCGCCTGCGGTGGTAAGGGCTGAACCAGCCGCTCACGTACCTGGGGGGCAGACCCACGCATGCAGGTGCGCCCACGGCGGCTGGCCGGGCAGCCTCGGGGGCGGCGGTGGTTAAGAGAACTTCTTTGAAAAACCTTAGAGTCTGGTGGAACGTGTAATACGCTGGTTCCCCCCAGAAAGTCTTTGTCTGGGACGGGCCATGCTCACCCTGTCCTGTTGGGAGTGTGGGCTCAGCCCCTGCCCACTCACCTGTCTCTCTCCAGCAGCGTGTCCACGGAGCTGTGCAAGTGGAGGCTGACGTGCGTGACGAGGGCCAGGATGTCGCTGCCAGGGAAGGAGCCGGGCCCCTCACTGCACGAGAGCCGCCGTGCTGAGCCGGGGGTCCAAATGTGAGGGGAGAGGCAGGGCCGGGGGCGGGGGGTTACCTTGTAAAATCAGTTACTTCTAGGTTTGAAATCCCGAGAAAGTTCTCCACTTTTGCTTTAACGTCTTCGGTAAACCCTCCTGCAACCAAGCACAGACAGAGGTGGTCAGAGGGGCCTCTGGAGAGAGGGTGGCAGGGCCCCAGCGCCACTGTGCAGCCTGGTGGCAGTGACCAAGGTCAGAGTGCATGTGCCAGCCCAAGCAGACCTCGGCCACAGGGCTTCGTACGAAAGACGTAAAATGGGCTCACTGTGTTAAAAATGAGAAAATGAGGAGAAGCAGCCCCGCCATTGGGGGAACCGTCAGCCTGTGCTGCCCGGCGCACCCACAGCTGTCCCGGACGTACGCAGGACCTGGCCACTGCGGTTTCTCAGACGCAGAACATTCCAGGACAACTGAAATGAGCCAGTGAGGCCTGCACGTACCAATGTGGACCGGGCTCCGTGTCAGTTTGCGCGGGAGCAGCCGGCGGGGCACGAGGCCCGGCCCATCTCCACAGAGGGAGGAGGGCTGCGTGGCAGCGGTGCCCACCTCGGAGGCGCGGCAGCGGAAGCCAGCGCCCAGGTCAACACCAGAGCCGGCTGCAGTGTCCGCACGCCTCTGTCTGAACAGTTCCCTCTAACCCCTCAGGAGGCATGACGCACAGGGAGGCTCAGTGTCCGTCCGGGAGCCAGACCCTGCTTTCCTCATGCCGCCCCACCCTTGTGCCCCACAAAGCCACAGACCCGCGCCCTCACGGACAGGCTGTCGCCCCTGTGAGCCCTTATCTCTGCCCATGTGGGGAGCTTGGCCGGCTCAGGGCAGAGTCCTTTTCAGCAGGCACCCGGGACGAACTGCTCTCACAGGCTGTGTCTGGGGGCCGCGGGGCGGGCGGGTGGCTGAACCCTTCCCCACCGGTGAGCATGACCACAGTCCCGCTCCGAGGAGACGCGATCAGGGGCATCTGCCCTCCTGCCGCCTGGGAGGAGCAGGGAACCGTACCGTGTAGGAGCGCCTGCAGGCAGACGGCCAGGGATGGGATTCCCACGGGAAGCAGCTCGCACAGCACGGAGAAGTGGTCATACCTACGTCCGGGGGAGAGGGCCGCTCAGCTTCCACTGCCCACCTGCTGCCTGTGTGCTCTCCCGGGCACACTGGACCGGCCTTGAGATGCTCCCACAGGGCTGGCTGCTACCTTGGGCCGCGTCCCACCCGGAGGCCCTGCCTAGGTTTGCTGCTTGGGGCGGACAGCCTGACTTCCTTAGTAAGTTCTCTGACTCTGCTCTGGGAGACCTGGGGGTCAGCAAGGCACGGGCAGGGGCCTCCAGCTGTCTACCCCTCTGCCCTCCCCATCGCAGGGGTAGACCTGTGGCTAGGACTTGGCCAGGAGCCCGGGTTCACTTGCAGCTCACTTTTCAAATAGGGCGAAATCCCTAAAGAGAGAAAATCTCTCCTTGTGCTGGCCACACTTGAGACACGTTTTGTGTGGCCCTGGAGGCAAGGCTGCCAAGGGTGCGGAGGTGTGTAGGGGCTGGGAGGACGAGGGTGCATCGCCCCAGACACCCTGAGTGACATCCCCTCTGCAGGGTTTGGGGGACGGCTGTGGGGGTGTTAGGGGCCCAGGCTCCTACCCTCATAGGAGCACCAGCCCCTTCCCAGGAAGGGCTGAGCAGACGGGCCAAGGAGGGGTGGTCTGTCCCGGGCCATCAGAGCTGCTTGGCCCCTGCCAGGCAGGTGGGCGCCGCCTCACCTCTGCCAGCCGGTCAGGACGATGCCCTGCAGCATGTCCGCAGGCCCACGGGCCGCCACCTGCAGCCACTGCACATTGTTCCTGAGGTGGTGCTCGATGGGGGTCAGGGCCTGGCTCACCCCCGTGGCCCCCTTGAAGGCGCTGGCAGCCCACAGCCGGAGAAAACCACACTTCCGGTACTTTTCCATGAGAAGAGCTAGGTGGGAAGGTGAGTGGTGTGACGGGCCCGGTCGGAGGAACTGAGGCCGTCAAGCCTGGACACGGCGCCTGTCGCGGACCGGAGGCAGGAGGAGCCCCCAGCCGCCAGTTCGAGTTCCAGGCAGACTGAAGTCTCAGGGAGATCAGAGACGCCACCCAGATGCTCGTGAGGAAAACAGCAGACAACATGGGACACCTGGGGAGTGATGAGGGCCGGGATGGGTGCCCCGGTGGCCCTGTGGTTGGCCGAGCTCCCTCAGGGAGGGGCCTGCAGGGAAGCGGAGGCAGCTGGCAGGGTCCTGATGAACCAAGGGACAGAGGCCCCTGCACGCCCCGGCCAGGCAGTCAGGGCTCCAGGGTCTTAGTGGCTGCGGTCCGGGTACTGACCTTTGCCATGGACGTCTAGGTCGGCCCCGTAGTCCCAGAGCACAGGCTCCACGAGTTGTGGCACCCCCGATGCTGGGGGCAGAGAGCGGCTGTGAGCCGAGAGCCATCACCCTGGCCCCACGGCCCCGCGGCCCGCACCCCCCCACTCCAGCCCCAGTGTTACAGCAGAGCGCATGCCGACTCGCTCGGGAGCCTGGGCTGTAGGTGCAGACTGGACACGGCAAATACTGCAACCATGGGTTTGGCCAACTTTGGCAACGAGCAGACTGAGTTCTGTGAAAGGGGAACCCCCAAGCCGGGAGCCCCGGAGCTTCCTGCGCGGAGGAACCGCTCTGTCTGCATGCCACGGTGGGGGCGCCGGGACCGGGTGGAGCAGGAACACACTACCACTTGGGCTGGATTCTGTCTCATCGTATGAGAATCCAACGGCCACACTGGTCAGGGCTGCCTCCAGGACACCTGGCCTTGCAGAGGCTGGGGCACTGGCCACACTCTGGGCGGGGGCTCTGAGTGGACCATGGGGTGCTTCTCTGGTCTCAGTCCGGAGCCTCAGATGGAGTGAGCCCTGGCGGGCTGGAGGGGCTGCTGTCCTTGACCAGCAGCCTGCGTAAGCTTTAGCCACAGCACCCGCAGGGTTGGCCACGGGGTCCTATGGTGTCAAGGCGGCCGGAAGCACTGGATACTCCAGGCCCAGTGGGACCCCTTCCCCACCCTCCTCCCCCTGCTGGCCAGGCCCACCGGGGCCCCATGGCTACTCTCGGCTTCAGACCTACCACTCTGCACTCCCTACTGGGGGAATGGCATTTTGCGTGAGAAAGTTTGGAGAGTGACTCTAAGGGGGTGGCCTGTAGTGAGAGCTCTGGGGGAGGGGCCCCAGAGTCCGCCCCCAGCAGCCACTCGCCTCCTCACTCCCGGCACCAGCGGCCTGGAGGAGGCACCACCTGCTGACCTGAGAGCTGGTCCTCGGGGATGGCCCGCAGCATGTCGTCCCACACCAGGGGCCTTGTGGCAGGGTGCCGGGCCAGCACGTGGCAGGCCACTGCCTTTATGTGGGACAGACACAGTCTTGCTTTGGTGTTACGTTCCTGCTGCAGCCACCGTCTCGAGGCCTCGCCCTCGCCAAGGTAATAGACCTGGAAGGAAGCACAGGACGGGTCTGCCCGGACTGCCCAGCCTCACTGCGGACACACTTGGGAGAGTCTGGCCCAGGCCACGTCGGCCAGGATTGCAGTGGCAGCTGCCTGTGCAGAGGAGTTGGTGAAGGGGGCCCTCCTTCTTCCCCGAGACCTAACTTCCACTCCAGGCTTCCTTTAAGCATTCACAGTAGCCTGAGGGCAGAAATAACCAAGGTGTCCACCAGCCAGCAAGCAGATAACCAACGTGGGGGCTGGCTCTGCCGCTGCTCGGGGGTGGACAGCATGGCCATTTCAGGTCAGAGCCCAGTCCTCATCCATCCCGCAGGGCACCCCTCGCTGTGCTCAGCAATACAGCTTTGCCCGCACGAGGTCACGGGTCAGCTGCGATGGACGCCCTCACTGGGGGACGTCTCCTTGGCCAGTTCTTCTTTATCCTTGGCACGTGGACTATTTTTCTATGTAAGAAACTACCCCGCAAGGTGGGACAAGGGCCCTTGAAAGGAAGGAGAGGCTGCTGTGGTCTGGGAGGGACACACCGGGCAGGCAAGGCCCAGGGGTGGACAGAGCATCAAAGGACCCACCTCGTCGCAGCCGACATGGAACCACCGCGCGCCCGGGTGCAGCTCCATGACCTGGCTGACCATGGCTCCCACCAGCGCCAGGGCCTCTGCCTCGTGGGGGTTCAGGGTGTTCGGGAAAAGTGCCACTTCTCGGAGGTGAGTGAGAGCCTCATGCTTCAGCACAAACTGCAGAGATACAGGAGGTGATAGGAGGGGACACCGGGATGCAGAAGCCTGCAGCTGACCCGAAGCAAGGCTGGCTCCAGGTCCCCCCAAGGGTGTTGGGGGGCCGGGCGGAGCCTGTGGCTGGCTCATGGCCCTTCTGTCAGGTCTACCTGGGCCCAGTGAGAAAAGTAAAAGCCAGGCTCATTCACATTCAGATGGAGCGGCCACCAGCCTGAAATGTGATGGGTGATTGTGGACATGAGAGCCACAGAGGTGACACACACTCTCCTCACACCTCGGCTGACCGGAGGCCACACACACACCCACAGCCGAGGCAGACGGGGCACTGGCTGAACTCCCAGTGCCCCCAGCCTGTACCACAGGGTGGGTCCTCACAGCCCCAGGCCACCGTGGCCCAGGCCCTGGCTGAACACCAGCCATGGAGGCAGAGGGGTGGCCCCGAGGAAGCCAGGCCACAAACGCATGTATGAGTAGCTAACCGAAGCGTCAGCGGCCGCACAGCCGGGGGACAGGCTCTGAGACTGAAAGCAGTTTACAACCAGCTGCAGCGGAAAAAGTCAGATTCGCAATATTATCTGAAATGCCCAATTTTCAACCAAAAATCATGAGATGTGCAGGGGTGCCTGGGTGGCTCAGTGGGTTAAAGCCTCTGCCTTTGGCTTGGGTCATGATCTCAAGGTCCTGGGATCAGGCCCGGCATCGGGCTCTCTGCTCAGCGCGGAGCCTGCTTCCCCCTCTCTCTCTGCCTCTCTGCCTACTTGTGATCTCTGTCTGTCGAATAAATAAATTTAAAAAATTTAAAAGATTTTATTTATTTGAAAGAGAGAAAGCAAGCGAGCACAAACTGGGGGGAGGGGCATAGTGAGAGACTCAGGCAGACTCCCCGCTGAGCAGGGAGCCCGACGTGGGGCTCGATCCCAGCATCCTGAGATCATGACCAGAGCCCGAAGACAGATGCTTAACAGACTGAGCCCCCCAGGCGCCCCAACCCCAGCAAGGTTTCTTACAGATGTACAAACTGAGTGGAAAATAAAGCTTTTATTACCCGATTTTACTTAAGAGTCGTCACAGTGAAACAACAAGAATAAAGACAAGAAGGTATGGACAAAGGGACAGATGCATACGTGGATGGACAGAACAGTTCAGAAACGGACCTTCACAAGTAAGGTCAAGTGACTTCTGACAGGTACAGAAGCAACCCCAGATTCCAGAGTCTAAAGGAAGGATCATCCCTCAGTAAGCGGTGCCGGCCCGACTGGCCATCTCAGTGGTCATGCCCTATATTCAAAACAACAATGACCCTCACTCTAACCCTTACACAGAAATTAACTCGGCATGGACCATGACAGCAAGTGGAAAGTGTGCGAACGTAGAACTTTAGAAGGAAACAGGAAAAGTCTCCGGGAGCCGGTGACTGGCGGAGTTCTTAGAAACGACACGAGGAGCAGAGCCCATCAAAGCAAAACCGAGAAGCCACACGATCAAAATCAGACACTTTTGCTCTTTGAGGTCCTGGGAAGGACTGAAAACGCGAAGACCAGACCGGGAGCAGATGCTGGCCAGTCGTCATCCAACAACCCTCGTATCCAGACTGTCCAGAGAACTGAAGAGCTCAACAGTGCCGAAGGTCAAACGCGCAAAGTCCCTGTAGTGATTTCACCAGAGGGAACATCCTGACGGCAAGTAGGTGCACATTAACAGTCTTTCTCCCGAAGGAGCCAACCCTGAGGACACCCCGGCCTTGGGCTTCTGGCCCAGAACCAAGAGAGAGCTCGCTCCCGGGGGCTCGAGTCACCTGGCGGAAATCCTCTGCTGCAGTGGCCCCAGGAACCAACCCGACTCGGAGAGCAGCCAGGCCCCCTCGAGGAGCAGCAGTCAGGGAGCGACTGGGAGAAGGGGTCAGAGCAGCACCGTTGGGGGGGGGGGGACCTTCGGGCAGGTCAGGCGGTGGTTCGCAGAGGGCTGGCGGCTGCCGACCCGAGACAGAGGAGCAAAAGCAGCAGGGCACACGATGGCCTGAGTGCAGGGGTGTGAGGGGCGCCAGAACAGGGCAGAGGAGCCCGCATTGGGGGGGGTCATGGAGGACAAAGGGGAAGCAGGAGAGGACATGGCATTGTCTGCACAGGAAGGGTCTGGAGAGGAGCCGTGGGGACCGCCGCCACACCCAGCGGTAGCGACAGGACAGCACGCTGCTAGAGGAAGCAGTGGTGTGGCTGGGAGTGGGGGGCCAGGAGGGAGCTGCTGGGGCTGCCAAAAGCCAGAGTCAAGGAAGATGGACCAGAACCTGTCACTACGTTTAACGACTTGGAGGACAGCGAGGCCCTGGAGGGACGCTCTGTGGACTGCAGCCCGAGGCGGCGGGAAGTGAGGAGCCCAGGGAGCACGGCAGGGTGTCACCTCCGGAGGCCTGAGCGCGGGGGACACGGGCAGGGGAGAGGGCGCGTGAGCGGACGTGGACACAGCTGCTCTGACACAACTTGCACCTGAACACCTGGGGGAGGGGCTGGCCACAGGGCCAGCAGGTGTGTCCAGTGAGGAGAACCCGGAACCTGCAGCCGTTACATCGATGCTGTGTCTAATCTGCGGTCCGTCTTTTGTGCAGGTGTGAAAACTATTTCTGAAGATCACATAGGAGCCTGGGAAACATCTCCAGTGTTAAGTGAGGAATGCAAGTAAGAAAGGAAACCAACGTGGCCCTCAGGGCTCCATGGGATCAGGCATCCCCCCCGGCCCCGCCGCTCCATTCCCTGGACAGAGGCTGCTCTGACCTGGAGCTCTGTGCTCTTCCGCCTCCTGCAGGGCAGAGCTTGAGAAAGAGCTGCTCCCCGCCTGTGGCTAGCCACTGCCTGTGGACCCCCGAGCCCCACACCTGGCACCAGGTAACTTCTGTTCCTCCCACTTACCTCCATGTGTCCAAATGTCTGCACCAATGGAATGACCTCTAGCTTGTTCAGTGTAGCCAGATGTAGGATCTCTTTGATTTCGGGGGGGCTGGGAGACAAAGATCACCCAGAGGTTCACTCCAGCCCATTCACACCAGCCCCTGTTCACACGGGCTCCTGTTCACACTCCCCCCTCCCTCGTCAGGTTCCGGCGGTGCACCCTCCTGCGGAAGCCAATATGCTCACTATTTCCAAAAAGCTCAAAGATATTCCTAAGACTTAAGAGAGGGCTCCCACCTAGAACTGGGGGAAATGATGCTCTGTTAGGTCCTCAAGTAACAGTTTGCTTTTTACCAGCTATTTTTACCCAAGCTCTGTAAGAAGCTGAAGTCATTTCATAAGAAACTGGGCCATAGATGGAATCATATTCTAGAACAGGGGTTGGCAGATGGGCCCAAGGACAAATTCACCTGCCCGTTTTCATACAACCCATTACCTAATAACTTGGTTGAGAGAAATCAGAAGAAGAAAAACTTTTCATGACATCTGAAAGTTCCACGAAATTCCTATTTCAGTGCCCACAAGAGGAATTTTATGGGAAACCCGCCACGGCTGGCTGCTTGGGCCCCCAGACTGCTCTAGCAGAGACCAGTGGGCTGCACAGCCCAAACTACGGACGGTCTGGCCCTTTCCAGAGAAGTTGGTGTCCCCTTTAATAGAGGAAATTTAAAAGACCTTCAAGGTTACACTGCGGGGGGGGGCCTCATCCCTGTGGGGGGCTAGTGACCTCCGAGACATGCCTGAGTGGGGGGATGCTCTGGCGGGAACGTGGATGGCACCGGGAAGGGCCGGCTGCCTGCTCTGGCATGAGCTTCCACACAGGAATCTGTCTCAAGATAAAAGCGAGCTCCAGGTTCTGGGGGTGTGTCTGATCGTCTCCTAACCAGTTCTACCAGTGCACGGGCTCCACACAGACCCTTTCAAGCTCCACAGGTATCCCAGCACTTGCTTCCACTTCACAAACAAGCAAATGAACAGAACATGTTTGTCGTTAGAAGAAAAACGGAGCGAGCAGCATGAAAAGCACGGAGACTTCCAGCAACTCCCGCGGCGTGAACGCTCGAGACACACATGTGGGGCACGAGCCCCTCGTGCAGTTCTGACACGGAGCCGACCCTCCCTGCAGAGCGGCCGCCTGGCGGATGTCAGCTTTTTCCTACCCTCAGGAACACAGAGCATCAGAACCTTTAAAAAATCCTCACCAATTTGATAGCCAGAATGGCATTATCACTTGATTTAATTCACTTTATTACTATCGTATTGCTTATTGGACATTTTTACCTTTGGGGGGGAATTGGCCCAAATGTCCTTTGGTCATTTTTCTTTCGGGCTGTTACTGACTTACACGGACATCAGAACTTGGAAACCAAGCGGGGTGTGCCCACGGCCGCCACATCTGCATTTATTGATTCTGACCCTCCGACCTCCTTTAATCTTTGCTTTCCTGGTGAGGGTCCCAACTGTGGCCTTAAAGAGCAGCATCCCCGTCCCCTTAATCCCCCCCATCTCCCCACGCTCCTCCTTTCCCCAAAATGTTTTCAAATTCTCTCCAGCAAATGTATTTTATTTTTGTAACTAAGACATGAGTTTAAAAGCCAGGAGAGGGCTGCCCACCAGTGCCAAACGCTCGCCCAGCCTGCCCACACCGCCGGTGGCCCCGCTCTCTCCGTGGCTGGGGATACCTGTATGCGTGCTCGGCTCTCAGCAGCCTGAGACGGCCCTCATAGGGAAACATGTCTTCATACTCGAGGAGGAGCCCGTTGGCGCCCAAGGCGTGGAACAGAGGAAAGACCTGGGGGCACAGAGACACTGTGAGGAAGCGACTGTGTGAAGGAGGGCCACAGAGGTGCCACACGTGGCCTGTCTTCCTGCCTGTGGACACGGGTGGTTGATATTCTCATTTCTCCTGGAAACATTGAACCGGGAACGCGTACTTTGTGTCGCACCGATCAAACTCTGACACGGCAACCGGCTCACTCAGCACTCAGCACGGGGCCAGGGGGCGGGGTCTGCACCTACGGATTTAAGCCCAAGGCGGTGGGGGGTGGGCCGGGGGCGGGCTGCTCCTGGCTGCGCTCACCGGGCCTCCCCATGCTCACCCCCATTTCCTCATCTACCTTTGTTTCAAAGGAGACGAGTTCTTATTCTCAAGGATTTTCAGGTCTAGTCCATATCTACCATACAGAATTATTCCTTCCGGTCTGATGTCAAGTCTGGGCTGGAAAAGGGATCATGGGCACCACCGGAAGGGCCCCCAGCAGGTAACTAAACAGCAAGCCCTCCCCGGACAAGGGTCCCTGCAGGTTCCAGAGACTTTTCACACTCCTGCTGACGTGTCTGTGGGAACTTTCCTTTCCCATGAGCATGGGGACCTTCGGGAGCAAGCTGGACGGAAGCAGGAGGACAGCCTGGGGCGGAAACTTCACCTTGCACAACGCACCACCAACAGCTGACACCAGCTACAAAGAGAGGCAGACAGGCTGGGAAGGAGTGGGCTAACGCAGGCCAGGCCGGCGCCTAACACCACACAACCTTCTTGGCATTTTCCTACTTCCTCAGCCCCGTGGCCATCCGACCGCCACAGCCTGTTTGGCGCTTTGGCTGTTGGGGTTGGTGGTGATCCTCTGTGCCATGGGTGGGGGGAGGCTGTGGGGTGGGGCGGCCCGGGTGTCCCCAACACACACTCCTGCCACGTGCTGGGACGGGGAAGGTCCTCGCTGTAAAGCCGCACAAGTGAGCACCCGCGTGCACGCGCACACGCACACACACACATAACACACACACACACGGGGCGTGCTATGCCAGCCTCATGCATCTGTCCCCGAGACTCAACATCGTTTCCCCTAATTTCCTGCTTTCTGACTGGAGTATTTCTAAGCAAATCCCAGACGAAACAACTGTGTGTGTCAACACTTCAGTATACATCCCTGATGAAGATCTTTTACAGAAACACGACCACACGCCAGGATCCCGCCTAACAAAATCTTCAATGTCATTCCTGTTCAAACCTCCCTGTGCTGAGACCTTCTCACATGTGGCTTGTTTGAGCCCAGTCCAGACAAGGTCATACACTGCATCGTTTGAATAGATCTTTTAAGGTTCTCTGATTTTTAATAATCCCCTCTGCTTTTTAAATTTGGAATTTATTTGTTGAAGAAACCGAGTCACTTGTTTTGTGTAATTCTCCAGGTTTTGGATTTGATGGGTGGTATTCTCACGATGTCCTGTAGTGTGTTTGCCCATTTCCTACTCTCGTGTGTGATGGTGGTCAGACATGAAGGGGGAATTGGACCCAGGTGTCATTCTTTGGGCAAAAGTACTTCACAGATGATTCTAGAAGTCCCAAGTCTGGCTGCCCCAGCAGATTGGTGTTAGGCTGACCAGTGCGCCCAGGGGCATCAGCCAGACCCACGCCTTGAACTTCTGCCACCTGGTTTCAGTGGCTGCTGACATCGCCGTGAAGCCCACTCAACGGGCACTGCACGGGGTGGGGATCGCAATGTGGTCCGTCCTGTGGTCACTGGCTGGAACCCTACTTCCTCTGGGCCGTTAAGTGGTCGTTCCAGTCCTGATGCTGCTGCAGCCCGTTCTTGGTCTTGAGTCACGCACTCACTCCTTGGACATCCACGATAGCTGGCCTGCGGCTTTCATACCCGATGGTCCACTCGGTTGGATACAAAATCCTTCAGTATCTCAAATAGGTTACGCCCTTGTCATCTGTCCTAAAATGCTGCTCTCAAAGGACCTGATGCTGATCTGATTATCCTTCCCTCACACAGAACTTGTAGCTTCCCCTGTGTGCCCAAAAGAGCTGTTCGCTTTCATTTTCTTTAAAGTCTCATACATTTAGTAAAAGACGCCTTAATGTCTCCCATCCTCGATATACAGTATGCCCTTTCTTTTTTGAGGATTTATGTATTACTTGAGGGAGAGAGTGCGTGCGTGGGGGAAGGGCAGAGGGAGAGAGGCCCAAGCGACCTCCCGGCCCAGAGCTGGGACACTGACTCCAGGCTCGACCCCACATCCCACGAGTTCGTGAACTGAGCTGAAGCGGAGTCAGATGCTCAACCAGCCGAGCCAACCGGGCGCCCCAGCTCTGCCCTCTCCGTGCGCAGACCCAAGTATCCCTAGACTTCAGGGAACTGCCTCAGGGGTCCCGAGCACGTGTTCTCCTCTCTGGACCCGCTGCAAACTGAAAACACGGCTACAGCAGCACCTTCCGCATCGAGGCGGGGGTCTGTTCCCAGCTGACTTGAGATTCACGGCTTCGGCTCCCGTGCTCTCCAAGCCCTGTGAGCACCGCGCTGAGAGGCCGGCCTACCCGCTGGGAGGGAAGGGGGCCCGCGTGCAGGACCAGACCCAGGCACCCAGTGGACAGCTAGGACAACTGCTGGGCGCGTGGGACCACCCTGGACCATCAGGCGTTCCTAGTGGTCAGGGGACTGCCAACACGGGCGGGAGCCTGGGGTGGACCAGCCAGGGAAACAGAAGGAACGATGAGCTGCCGCCGTAAGACCTTCAGTCTGGGGCGGTCGGCCCGTCCACCGCAGATAACAGAGGGGCTCCTGCTACAGGTGAGCTGGACCTTCTTTGCTTATCTTCTGAATCTTCCCATTTGTCAGCATGCGTTTATCCCTTCACGCGGGGCATTCTCTCTTTCCGTACTTACCTCCCAACAGTGCGCTCCCCGCGGCGCCTGCCCACTTCGGTTCTTCTCATCTATCTCTCCGCCAGAGGCTGCCTCTTCCTCCATGCTCCCTGCACTAGAACCTTTGCTCTGCTTTACTTTCCGTGTCCCAGTCCAGCGCCCCACGATTCTCTCCTCAACACTGTGTTCTTTATGCATGGCTCTGCCTTTCTAGAAGTTTCTGGAAGGTATTTCTGAAAGAGACCTCTCCAGCATCTTCTTCTTGGTCTTTCTGCACTGCAGCCAATGAAACCTCTCCCCCACTGCTCTCTGACAGAGGACCTGTACTTGCGGGCCTGGGTCCTCTGGTCTTGGACCTGTCAGAATTCCTTCCTCTCTCCTCCATCACCTCCTGCCTGGTTCCTCTTCCCACATGGGTGGTATGCTGTACCACATGCATTTTGGAATTCACGGGGATACCCTCATACCTACTTTTGTTGAAGAGTGTATTAGTTTTCTAGGGCTGCTATATCAATGACCACAAACTGGGTGGCTTAATACAATGACAATTTTCTCTTCCAGTTCTAGGAGTCAGAAATATAAAACATCAGGGTGTAGGCAGGGCAGTGCTCTCTCTGAAGGCTCCAGGGAAGAACCCTTCCTTGCCTCTTCCAGCGTCTGGTGTTGCTGGCAGTCCCGGCACTCCCTGGCTTACAGCCGCACCCCTCTGATCTCTGTCTCTGTCTTCACACGGTGCCCCTGTGTCTAAAGTTCCCTCTTCCTATAAGGACGTCACTTATTGGATTGGGGCTGCCTGACTCCAATGTGGCCTCATCTTACGTCCACTGTAATTGCAAAGACCCTATTTCCAACTGAGGTTACATTCATAGGTACGAGTAGTTAAGATTTGAACATCATCTTTTTGGGAGACACAATTCAGCCCACAACAGAGAGGCTGTGGGTCTCCTTTGCTGGGTTCCCTAACCCCTGCCTCCTTTTCCTATCCTAGTTGCTCTGTTCTATGAAGAGATTTGATGGAAATTCATAATGTCTGCTGCTGCCACCATCGTGCCCCTGCCTAGGACCCCATGGTTGTGCTCTCAGCACACATTTCTATAGAATACTGTTCACAACTTTGAAGACCAAACCCGAGGCAAGGAAGATTGTCTACAGGGAAAGGGGCACTTACCTCCGAGAGGTAGGAAACTTTTGGTGGAGCTCCTTTAAGGTCCAAATGAACTAATCGCATCTTAAACGGTGAAGAGCCTGACATTTCACTATTTTTCATGAAGTCATATAACAAAAATCTCTTGTCTGGGCACTTCTTCCTAGTGGAGAAATTCAAAGTTATAAATGGGCAAAGGCCCCTTTTAGCCCCTGCCCTTCCACTCTGTGCTTCCATTCCCACATGCCCAGTTTTGCATTTTTCACTGGGAGGAAACTCATTTCACCAACATAAAAAAGAATCAAGAAGTCTCCTTCATGCTCAAATAAAGGGACCTCTGCCATTCAACACCAGACTCGCCCCTCTGCAAATGCGTCCCGAGCGCGGCTCCCCGAGCCGGACTGTGGGCAAACCCCGCAGACCGCACGCGTCCCCCGGGGCTGCGGGGACGGGCTCCGGCGGGCATGCGCGCGGCGTGGGCAGCCCTCCGCTGCGAGAGGAGCCCGGCCCGACCCCCGTTCCCCTCCCCTCCGCCTCCCCGCTCCCCGCCCCCTGCCTCCCGCCTCCCGCCGCAGACGCGCCGGCTCCACCGCGCCGGCCCCACAAACCCTGAGCGAAGAGCCGCGGGGGCGCGGGGGCCTCGCTCCCGCACCGTCTACACGGCGAGCGGGCTCCGAGCCCAGGTCGCCGCGGCCGAACCGGGGTCCGAACCGCGACGCTGACGGCTGCGGCGCGCCCGCGTCTGCCGGGACCCTCGCAGGGACGCGGACCCGCCGGCGCCCTCCGCGCGTCACTCACCTCCTCCCGCGCAGGCGGGACGGAGCTGCCCCGGCCCCCGGGAGCGCGGCCGAGCGCGGGGAGCGAACGGAGACCCCGAGGTCAGCGCCGGGAGAGGCCCCAGGGCGCGGGAGCGCGGGGCGAGCCCCGTCCCGACAGGCGCCCCGAGAGCGCGCGAGCCGTGAACGCCGCGGGAGGGCAGCGCGGGGCCGACGGCACAGCCCCGGCCGGGCCCTGCGGGGAGACCCCGGGGGCCGCGGAGAGCGCGCACACGACGGCGACCGCGGGTCCTCAGGCCCGGCGGCTTTCCGGGGCTGCGGGCGGCGCGGGGCTCCGCAGAGGGGCGCGCTCCGCCCCGCCCTGCTCGGCGCTCGGCCTGCGACTGCTCGGGTCTGGCCGCCAGGCCCGGGGTCGACGGTCGAGCGCGTCGCTCTGCGTCCCCGGCCGCGCCGGCCTCGCGCACCCTCTCGCGGCGCTCGTCCCGGGCTCGGGCGGCTCCCGCGTTCGGCCCGGCTCCGCAGCGGCCCGGCCCGATGGCGCCTCAGCGGAGAGGCGCGCCCAAGGCGCCGGAGGGCAGCGGGGCAGCCGAGCGCCGGCGCGCCAGCAGGTACAGAGCAGCGCAGGGACGGACGGGCTGTGGCGGCGGGAGGGGCGTGGCCAGGCGAGGGGTGTGGCCTTTACCGGGGCGTGGCCCTTTCGGGGCGTGGCCACGCCGCCCCGAGGCCTCCACGGCCGGCCTCCCGACGCGCGTGGGTTCCGAGGCCCCGTCGTCTCGTCCCTGTGCGCTGTCTTCAGGGCCGGCGGGTGGACGGTCCGGTGGGTGCACGAGGGTCATCACGGAGCCTTCCGGGGGCTTGTCCGGAAAGCCGTCAGGGCCAGGACGAACGCGGAGCCCCAGAGCTTGCCCAGCGTCCATGGACCTTGCTCTGAGACTCGCCCCTTCTGTTTGGGAGCCCCGCTCCTCCGAGCAGGGGTGCTCGCCTTGAGCAGACCCCGCGGGGTTGGTGCTCCACATCCCGCCAAGATGCAGTTTCTTCATTGTTTTCGACTCTGTGCGTCCCGCCCTGTCGCTTTCAGACTGGGCAGCCGCTCCCTGGGGAGAAGGTGTGGCCCGCAGCTCCGCCCTGCAGGTCAGGGTTCCAGTCATTTGCTGCTGAGACGGGCTGGCCGTCTCCCTGTCCTGTCTGGGATATGGGGGGAAGAGAAATGATGGGCCCACTGGTGTTGGATGTCCGGTGTCCACCCTGCTCTGATTAGAGAAGGCTGGGTGGCCTTGAGGCCAGACAGCAGCTCCAGGGGTGGGGGATGTTTTTGAGCTAGGCAGGCCCCCTCTTCCCCCTCAGGTATCTGTGGACCTTGTTTAAAATCATCAGGTATCCACTCAACGCAGTGTGACTGTGGTGTGCCCTCCTTGGGATTTATTTGTTGGAATTCGTTTTATTCATATAGCACTGCAAAGCGTTAAGGGACATATAAAAATGGAAGTCAGACTCCTTGCTTTTTAGGGATTAATTACATACTTAAAGAAGGAGGGCACTGCTCCTTAAAAGGGTGCCTTGATCTTTTTTCTTATTTTTTGTAAATTCTTTGAGCCCTACAGTCACCAAGTCTTTCCTAAACAGAGTACTCAGCTTCCCAGTTACCCACATGCACACGCAAAGACCCACGTGGGCATATACGTGGGCATATATGTATACATATACAGCCGTGTGCACAGACGTATGCATGCAACTTTAGCATGACAGTGAGGAGTGTAAGTTGTGCAAAAAGTGTCTTAATTACTAATTGTTTTCATTGTGGTTGTATTCTCTTCTTGACTGGCTCATGTTTTTAGTGCAGTGGCCTTGACTCACACTTAGTGTGTGGCCTGGATGTGGCGTGTGGTCTGGGTGTGGCATGGGCCCTGGGCGTGGGCATGGGCGTGTGGCCCCTGGGCAGGGTGTGGGGCACAGGCCTGGGCCCTGGGCGAAAGCTTGTGGCCTGGGCATGGGCCTTGGCCCTGGGTGGGGGCGTGGGGCCTGGGCGTGGGCCCTGGGCATGGGCGTGGGCCCTGGCACATGGTTCCTGGCGGTCAGTTTCAGTTGTAGGCAGTGTGATTGGCAACACAGATTGGGTTTCTCTGTGGCCCCGGCTGGCAGCCCATCTTGTCGCCAGCACAGGGCAGATGGGGCAGGGGAGGAGGGGCGCCTGCCCTGGCACGTCCTCTCCGGCTGGTGAGTGCCCTGGGATGGGTTGTGAGTAGCTCCGACCCCCATTGCTGCAGAACAGTAACCAAGCGTGGGCACGGTTCCCGGTCATCACCGTCCGTCTTTTCAGCACACACGGGAGCCTTTGGGTGACGGCAGTTGTGTTTTGTCCTCAGCACAAAGAGTGTCCAGGCCCCACGGGAGGTGCAGACAAAGTGGTTGAGAACCGCTGTCCTGGGGGCCTCTGCCGTGCTGGCCGGGCTGCTGCTCTGGAGCAGGCTGGGGGGCGACGATGGCATCACGGAGGTCCTGGCTCACCGCAGCGAGATCCTACCCGGCAGATTCATCGAGGTGCCCTGCTCGGAGGACTATGACAGTCACCGGCGGTTTGAAGGTAGGCGATGCTGCTGCGGCCTGGAAGGGGCAGCCTGTCCACAGGGGTGCGCTGCGTTGGCGATGCAATGGTCTTTTGGGGCCGTGAATTGATGGGAATCAGATTGGAAGCTGTGTGGGGGCCGCGGGCAGGGTACGGGCAGACTTTCCCTCCTTCGGGTGGGTTAACCTACACCTGGACTGGGAAAAGCAGGGCGGGCCCACTCACAAGGACAGCATTTTACCGAGGTGTCCTGTACTCTGGAGAGACGGGACAGAACCGGAAAGGTGAAGAGGATGAGAACGTTGAAGCCAGAAAAGGCATTGGCTGTACAGCGTCCTAGAGTGTTGTCCCTGCGGAAAATGCCCCAATAAGAAATGTGACCCCTGGGGGCACCTGGGGGGCTCAGTCGGTTGAGCCTCTGCCTCCGGCTCAGGTCATGATCTCTGGGTCCTGGGATCGAGTCCTGCCTTGGGGTTTCCCAGCTCAGCAGGGGGTGTGCTTCTCTCTCTGCCCCCCACGCCCGCTCATATTCTCACTTGCTCTCAAATAAGTAAATAAATAAAATCAAAAAAGAAATAATAAGGGGCGCCTGTCTGGCTCAGTGGGTTAAAGCCTCTGCCTTTGGCTCAGGTCATGATCCCAGGGTCCTGGGATCGAGCCCCGCATCAGGCCCTCTGCTCGGCGGGGAGCCTGCTTCTTCCTCTGTCTCTGCCTGCCTCTCTGCCTGCTTGTGATCTCTGTCTGTCAAATAAATAAATCTTTAAAAAACGATCGATTTCTAATCTAATTGCGTTGTAGCTAGATAACGTGATTTGTATGTTATAGGTCCTTAGATTTTGGCTCGGACTTTCCCTTTTTTAAAGACTGATGTATTTGAGAGAGAGAGAGAGCACGTGCATGCTGGTGGGGGAGGAGGCAGGGAGAGAGAGTTTCAAGCTGACCTCAAGCTGAGTGTGGGGCCAGTTGTGGCTCGATGTCTCGACCCTGTGATCATGACGCGAGCTGAAATCAAGAGTCAGACACTCAACCGACCGAGTCACCCAGGCGCCCTCCAACTTTGTCTTTGACCCAGTGTGTTTTTGTTAATGTCCTGTGTGGACCGGGGAACCATTTCCTAACGGGCGCCTGCGGGGATCTCTGGGATCCTCCTGGTCCCCACCGTCACAGATTTGTCTCTTTGTCCATCATGTCCTGAGGGCGGTGTGCGGGAATCTCCGCGTGACTGCGGGTCTGGCAGCGGCTCGGGACTGGTCTTGGTGCTGGCCGTTTCATATCTGAAATGGTACCGTCTGCTGCTGTTTGTCCGGTCTCCGTCTTCCTGCTCTGTTACCTGCAGACATGACCGTCTTTCCCTGATTCTTTTGTGTGAAAGTGCGATCGTCACACACAGAGCACGCTCCCAGCTTTCTTTTGATTATCGTTGTATCTGCTTTTATCTTGTACTGTTCGTGTCGTCATGTTCAGGGGGTAACCCTTACAAAAAGCATACACGTGGCTTTTGTTTGTGATGAAAACACTGGTGGGATCAGTAGGACCGTGTTTGGTCTCCTGAAACTGGGACACCCCCCCGACGGCCCCCAAGCAGAAGTTTATTTTTCCCACACACCAGGGTGCAGAGAGAGGCCCCCCGGCCGGCCGCTCTGTGAGCCCCTCAGCACTGACGCTCCGCACATGGCTCACATGGTCCCGGTCCACGTGCAGGTCCAGGCTGGCATGCAGGCTGCGGGCGGGGAAGAAGGGTGGAAAGCGGAAGGTCAGCCGGCCCCACCTGCCCTGAGAGGGCCCTCGGCTCTGTCTCACTGGCCGGGACCCCTACGAGGGAGCGGCCGCCCTTGCGCTGGAACACCAGGGGTTTGTCAGCCTGTCTGTGTCGGACGC